AACAATTAAAAACCCCAAAACCCCAAAACCCCAAAACCCCGTTTAGACATATCTATTAAATCTTTAGTAAGATAATAATTAAGTTTGTGATTATAAATAAAATGAAAGCATTAGTGGGAGTAAAGCGTGTACTTGACTATGCAATTAAGGTGAGAGTCAACCCTTAGAAGACTGGAGTTGACCTTCAAGGTCTTAAGATGTCAATGAATCCATTCGATGAGATTGCAATTGAAGAAGCAATTAAAATGAGAGAGGCTGGTGTAATTCAGCAAGTAGTTGCTTTATCTATTGGAGATAAGAAGTAATGATTGATCCATAAATTCTTCAATCAATAATACTTGATTATTAATTGAATTTATAGTGCTGCTGAGACCATTAGATAGGCTTTAGCTCTTGGAGCTGATTCAGGTATTCATGTTCAAACAGATTTGAGAATCGATTAGGACCTGCAACCATTAGCTGTGGCTAAGGTGTTTGCCAAGATGATCAAAGAAAAGTAATTCGACCTTTGTGTTCTTGGAAAGTAATCCATTGATGATGACTTCAATCAAACTGGCCAAATTCTTGGATCAATCCTAGGAATACCTTCTGCAACTTTCAGTTCCAAGATCGAGATTGATGTAGCAAATAAGAAAGCTACTGTAACAAGAGAAGTAGATTTCGGTCTTTAAAAGATTGAAGTGTAATTGCCTGCTGTTTTCACTTGCGATCTCAGATTGAACACTCCCAGATTTGCAAATGTTCAAAGCATAATCAAGGCAAAGAAGAAGCCAATTGAGGTGTTTAATTTGGCTGATCTTGGAATCGACTTCGCACCTAGACTTAAAGTAGAGAAGGTAGAAATGCCATAAGAGAGACAAGGTGGAGTTATAGTGGGATCAGTTGATGAGCTCATCTCTAAGCTTAAGAACGAGGCTAAAGTTATCTGAATCAAAAACTCAAAAGAATATATGAATGATTAAGTCAAGAGGCACTAGCACAATTCTGTGCTTAGACATAATCTACTCTTATTTAAATTAAGCTCTTAATTCTATGTTTTATATATTGATTAGAAAGGCACTTATATTAAGTTTAGGGAGTTAGTAGTAGTGTTGTAATATAATGGAACTTCTTATAAATAAATCAATGTATAGATAGATCATCATTGTAAATTATATTTTCATCATTCTATTCTCTGGAATGAGAGAACTCACTTTGGCTGATCTTCTCCACCAATCTATAGTTCAAGTTCCTAGATTCTCTTCTGAAGAGCTAGCAAGTTCTTTTGCAACTGTGTCTTCTCAGTTTTAATGGCTGATATCTATTGTGACAGTTTTGTATTCTCAGCTCTCTATTGGGCTAGATTTCTCTTTAACTCTTCCTCAATTCTTTAAAAGCATTATGAAGCAATTTATATACCTGTTAGCTTCATTGGTAAGAGTTTTGCGGACTTCCTAGGCTTTCAAAGCCAGAACATTTTCCAATGATTCTTTTTCTGCTCTCATGTTTTAGACTTCTTTTTTATGATAAAGTACCTCATCATTGATAGCTGTAATCATATCCTATATAAGCATTAATAAGTACAGAGCATCAAAGAATAGTTCACTAGTAGTCAATTGTGAATAACTTACCTCAAGTTGAACAAGTTTACCCTTCAAACTGTTGGACTTGTCTCCAGCCCCAACGGAAGAATAAGCGAATTGAGAATTTAGAGATTAATTCATTTTATTTGTTTAAATATATTATAAATGACAAATTTAATTTATTGGAATTATGTTTGTTAGATTTTAATTTTGAATTTTTTTCTAATAGACCAACAAATATTTGACTTTCTTCCTTCCTGTTACGATGTTTGCCCCATAACTACATCATTGCCTGTCATATTATCACCTTAATTGAATAGGCTTCTACTTAGATAATCTCCAAATTATTTTTTTTAAAATATGATAGCTTAAGTTGATAATATAATGGAGGAATATTGATCATTCATTTATCACTCCCCTTAGCTGACTGATATTTAACTCTTCAAACTCTTAAACTAATTCCTTTACTCCGTGTCTGCATCAAGACAATCTGATTAGATTTAAAGCAGGATGGAGAACAAGGAGTTTTGAAACTCAATAAAAATATAAAATTCTGACATAATTTTAATGAGTGGAAACAAAAAAGACACAAAAAATGTTTGAATTGAACTTTTATAAACAAATACTTAATTATAGATGACAACTTAATGTGACGTTCAGCCTCCGAATCCGTAGAGAGTTCTGCCTTGTCTCTTAAGAGCATAGACGACATCGAGAGCGGTGACGGTCTTTCTCTTGGCGTGTTCAGTGTAGGTGACTGAGTCTCTGATGACGTTCTCGAGGAATGATCTGAGAACGTTTCTGGTCTCCTCATAGATGAGGGATGAGATTCTCTTGACTCCTCCTCTTCTGGCGAGTCTTCTGATTGCGGGCTTGGTGATGCCCATGATTGTTTCCTTGAGTGACTTCTTGGTGTGTCTCTTGGCTCCGACTTTACCGTAACCTTTTCCAACTTTACCTCTTCCGGCCATTTGATTTATTAGTTTATGAAATTATTATTAATTAACAGAAGGTGGATCCTTATATAGACTAGAGTTATTAACAAATCTACGCAGATTAGTAATTCTATTGGAGCTTTTAAAATTTTCACTCATTGTATAATCATATCACGAAAAGATTGATATTTTAGCTATAATTCATAATTTATTTCTATCGATTTCTTCTCAAGGGGTTTTGGGGTTTTGGGGTTTTGGGGTTTTGGGG